TAAATTTAATTACTAATAATGTTGGGTGTAAGTTCATCAATATTTGTTCCTATTTGTCTCTTTTTTTTTGTTGTTGTTGTTGTTCTTTTATTCCACCATTCTTACCTTCTGTTTTATAGTCAAATAATTTTATTGTTTTCCTCATTAGTTTATACCATTTGCATTATTCTTTTAGTAATTACCATAAAGATTGCAATATTAAGCTTAACTTATTACAAATAAGACTCTCATGCAGTGCTTGTGAGAGCATAAGAACAACCACTCTGGAAATCTGGCCAGCACTGTCTACAAAAACTAAACACACATATATGACCCAGCAATTCCAACCCTGTGTATCCCTACAGCAAAAATGAATGCTTATGTCCACAAAAGACATGGATAATTATGGTCATAGCAGCAGTATTTCTATAGAAAAATTAGAAACAACCCAAATTTGCAACAACAGAACATGGATAAACAATGTGTGCTACATCCTACTATGGAATACTACACAGCCAAAGGAAAGAACAAGCCCCTGATTCATGAAACAACATGAATAAATTTCACAAAGATATTGAGTAAAAGAAGATTTTACTTCTGTAAAGTTCGAACAAGTAAATTTTATAAAGGGAGGTATGTGGAGGAGATATTTTTATTCAGTGAGACCAACGTGGTTGTGTAAACTATCCTGGTCCTTCATTATGCTCCTGAGCAAATATATTTGAGCAGGTTGTGTTCCCCCCAGCAGAAGTCAATGCCACATTCCTGAATGTATCTACCCTTGAAATGACAAAGACACATGTTCCGAGAGGGTCTTGGAAGGGGGTATAAAGTTGGACAACACATGGAAGCTGCACAATAAGTAGAAGGAACTGCTTGGGTAGGATTCAGCTTTTGATCTAGCCATGGCTGATTGATTAAAATAAATTATAGAACATCCATTCATGACTACTAATGTAGTCATTAAATGCAAAATGATTAAAAATATTTATAGTTAAAAACATCAAAAATATTCAAAACATATTCACTAGTAAACAAGTTAATGGTGTAAAATACAGTATAATTAGGTTTATAAAATGTGTGTATATATAAATACAGAGAAANAAAACATCAAAAATATTCAAAACATATTCACTAGTAAACAAGTTTATGGTGTAAAATACAGTATAATTAGGTTTATAAAATGTGTGTATATATAAATACAGAGAAAAAGAAAAATGTCTGGAAAATTACAAATCCTTATGTCAGCACTTCTTCTCTGTGTTCTCTATGATGTTAAATTAAGAAGTAGCCTTAAACAGACTTCCTTCGAACTTTGAAAAAATGGTGAGGAAATTCTATAA